CCCCATTTCTCACCTCAATCCATCAGGGAACAGCAGCAAACCCAGGGATCAACCAGCGGGCCCTGCAGCTCCTCTTCTCCGAGGTGCGAGGCAAGGCGGCCGACTGGGACTACAGCATCAGCGTCAGCGCTGCCGAGATTTACAACGAGTCGCTCAGGTACGACCAGGGAGGGGAGAGGCTTTGTGGGGTGTGTGGAGCTGCTGGAGGCTGGCATCAGGAGGCATCACCCCATGCCGCTCTCCTCCCCATTTCCCCGGCCTTGCCTTAGCCACACAGCTTGTTCCCAGGGCCTTGCACCAGGCAAGGATTTTTTTATTATTTTTTTTATATTTTTTTTTGTTTAATTTTTTTGGTGCTCACCAGCCTTTCTAAGCACTCACTGTTGAGCTCTGTTACTTACAGACTTATCCAGGCCACCACCCCTGCCATCTTCCCCCTGACCCTGATGCAGCAGCCAGGGCATCCCCCTCTCCTCCCTGGATGTTATATTTAGAAATTACTAACTGGGAGCATGAGAAATATTTTCCTCCCCTGGCTGTGAAGTGGCAGGAGGGGCGAGGGGAGAGGCCAGGAGCACAACAATACGGGTTGGGAATAGTGATAAAGAGCAGGGATGGGGAGTGTGGTCTGGGCTGGGGAACTGAGGTCTATAAATGGGATGTGGAGTATCCCTGGGAGGAGGTGGCTGCTCTGGCAGTGGAGCAGTGGGGATGTGGGGCAGGGGGGGAGCCAGCCTCTGTTGCTCCCCGGGGTGGGGATGGTGATGGGTTCCCCTTTGCCCAGGGACTTGCTGGGGAAAGAGCCGCAGGAGAAGCTGGAGATCAAACTGTGCCCCGATGGCAGCGGGCAGCTCTATGTGCCCGGGCTGACCGAGTTCAGAGTGCAGAGTGTGGAGGACATCAACAAGGTGCGGGGACATGGGGCACCAGGGCTGCCGGGAACGGGGGGGTCACTGGTGCCGGACCTTTGGATTCGGGTGTATTTCTGAAGCACCAGGGAGTGACAGAGACCAAAATAGATCCCTGAGTGCAATGTGACAGTCACTGTCCCATGGGATGAGCCACAGGGGGTTAAAAATAAAAGCAGGGGCCAGGGTGGCTCTGGGGATTAGTGGGATAGCGGCTGTCACCGCAATGCCCTGTCTGTCACCCTCTGCCTCCCCTGTGTCACCCTGGCTGAGACCTGGTCATTACCCCAATGGGCCAGGCACCTCCTGGGGGCCTGTCACTGGCTCTGCTTCCCTAGGGGTCTCCAGGTGGGGATGTGGTGGGTTTGGGGCAGGCTGGCCTCACCTCCCACCTCCCTGGGGCTTTCCCCAGGTCTTCGAGTTTGGCCATGTCAACCGTGCGACAGAGTGCACCAACCTGAACGAGCACAGCTCCCGCTCCCACGCCCTCCTCATCATCACCGTCCATGGCCTGGACCGCAGCACAGGGCTCCGCACCACAGGTGGGTGCTGGGCAGCAAAGCCCCTCCCTGGGGTATCCAGGCCACCCCAGGACCCCAGTGCTGACCACAGCTGGGGTTTTTGTCTGTGTATCCCCAGGGAAGCTGAACCTGGTGGACCTGGCGGGGTCGGAGCGGGTGGGGCGGTCGGGCGCGGAGGGCAGCCGGCTCCGTGAGGCCCAGCACATCAACAAGTCCCTCTCAGCACTGGGAGATGTCATTTATGCCCTGCGCTCCCGACAGGGCCATGTGCCCTTCCGCAACTCCAAGCTCACCTACCTGCTGCAGGACTCGCTCAGTGGTGACAGCAAGACCCTTATGATGGTGCAGGTAGGGTCTGGGTGGGTTTGCTGCTGGGACAGGCAGGTGGGATGCTGGAGGCTGGGGCTGGGCTGGGACCAGGGGACTTGGCTTGCACCTGGGGAGATCATCTGGGCTGCAACCATGGCACCAGGGGCAGCTCTGTCCCCACCTCTGTTCCCCAGAAGAGGATAAGGGGTGAACTCTGAGGTCCACCATCCTGCCTTCACATGGATGCGGTTGCTGTGGCCATGGTGTCTGTCCATGTTGGCATCTTCCTGTCCCCTCTCTTGCTGGGAGGATTTTATGCTATGGCAGCTGCTCCATTCTCTGTACTCTGTCATCTCTGTGGCCCCCTGACCCCTTTGAGGGGTGTCCAAGCCTCTGCCACCTGCTGCAGCTTTTCCCAGCTGTCCCTGGTGGTGGGGCAGTTGGTGACAAGGGATCCAGCTGGCTCAGACACTGACCCGGGTGTGGATGGAGCAGTGGGTTAATAATAGCAATTCACAGCCCAGCACCAGTGTGTTTGCCGGGGTGGGGAGCCCTGGGGGTGTGCAGGCAACTGGCAGGGTGACTTTTTTGCCTGCTCCTGCCTGCCCACAGGTGTCCCCGGCCGAGAAGAACACCAGCGAGACTCTCTGCTCCCTGAAGTTTGCTGAGAGAGTTCGCTCCGTGGAGCTGGGCCCTGTCTCCCGCAAGGCTGAGCTGGTCTCCTGGCCCAGCCAGGAGCAGCTGGAGGTAACCAAGGGGCCACCAGTGCCCTTCCTCCTCCCGCTGATCCCAAGGGGGGATGTCCCTGTTTTGCCCCCATACATGGTCTCCAGGCCATTTCATTGAATTATAGAATGTTTTGGATTGTAAGGGACCTTAAAGATCATCTAGTTCCAAGCCCCTGCATGGGCAGGGACACCTCCCACCAGCCCAGGTTGCTCCAAGCCCCATCCCACCTGGCCTTGAACACCTCAAGGGGAGGGGACATCCACAGCCTCCCTGGGCAACCTCTCTGTTGTTGGGTGTCCCCCAGGAGCCATTTCCATTGTCCCCAGGCTGTCACATCCAGCCAATGCTGCCACCTTGGCTCTCTCACCCCCAGTTTTGCCGCAGCCCCACAGTACCCCCCGAGCATATTTGGGCATTGGCTGCCCCAGCAGCATGACCTACCTATGAGCCCACCCTGGGACCTTCCCCTGGGGACTGCCTGGGCTGACCCTGGGGGCTGTGTTCCATCTCGACTCCAGGGTGACTCACCAGGGACTGCAGCCCCTCCTGGCCGGGCCCACACGTCCCCCAGCCCTGGGCAGCTCTCGAGCCGCTCTGCCTCCATCCGCAGGAAGCTCCAGACCTCAGGTGAGTCCTAGGAACCTGCTCCACACCCTGGGTGTCCAGGCAGGGGATCTCTGTCAGAGGAGGGTCCCACCACCAGCCTCATGCCAGCCATGTGTTGGCAGGCAAAGCCTGCACGGGGGAGCCAGCTGATTTGTAACAGCTCATTAACGAATGGCTAATTAGCCAGTGGGAGCCTGGTTGGCGTTTCCCCAAGAGCACCCCAGTGTGAAGGTGCTGCTGTGGCTGGAGGGGAGGGATGCTGCAGGGCAGCAGCCCCAGCCTGACCCTCTCTCCCTTTCGGATTTCAGCCTGAACTAGGGGCAGCCATGGCTGCCAGGTGAGTGCCCGCGGCCGGTGGCGGGCGCTGCTTCGGCCCCGCTTCCTGGGCAGGGCAGGGGCGCGGGGCTGTGCCGCTGGCGGGAGCTGGTGGCGATGCTTGTGGAACCTGCTGGAATGCCACCGGATGGGGCTGGGGCAGGGGCAGCTGTCGTCATGTCCACTGTCTGGTGTGACCCACACATTTCCCCCCTCAGGGAAGCTGAGGCTGGTCCCCGTGTGACAGAGCCAGCCCTGCCCCACGGTGCTACGCCGAGCTGGCTGCTGGGAGACATGAAGGCACCCTCACCCTCTCACGGGTGCACCCTCTCATGGGTGTTCCCTCACCCAACAGGACTTGTGACCAGAGGGTGGTGGCACCTCTTGCCATGAGCAGTGTGGGCCAGGGTGTCCCAGCAGCTGGATCCCCATCTCAGGATGGGGGACAGTGGTGCTGGGCAGGGATCTGCCCCCTCTGACACAGCTCTCTGACTTAGCAGTGTTGCTGGACAGACGTTTTTATCCAGAGCAGGGAGCTGCTACATGCTCCATCCGTCTCTCCAGCTTTGTTTTTGTAACTGGAAGAGGCGGCTCAGAGCCAGATGAGCCCCCAGACATGTCTCTGCTACCCCCATGGGCCAGCCTGGCCACAGCTTCAATGTGGGCAGCTGCCCCATGGCTTTCAGAGCAATACTTCCTCCATTTTAAGCCAGAAAAAAAGAATACGTCCCAGCAGCTCCTTTTCCCTCGTTGTTGCATGAAGGTGCTCTGGTGCCATGCATGGGGGGCACGGGGCTGTCCCTGTTCCTCGGGACTGAGGTGGATTTAGCGGTCTTGAATGAAGTTATTGTCAAGTTACTTAGCAGTTGTCTTGTTGAGAGATCACAGTGTGGTCAAGATGAAAGTGTTTGAAATATTTATACCCTGTTTACATGGTCATGGAATGGAAAAAAAAGTGGAAAAGAAACAGGAAAAAAACCAAACTTCCTACCCAAAAGCCTGTGGGCTTGTGCGTGGGGATGGCAGTGGGCAGGGGAGGGCACTGCCACCTCCTGCACTGTGCACCCACCTCAGGTCCACTTCCTTCTGCTGCAAATAACCACCTGGATGCACTGATGGCTCTGCAGCCCTCTCCTCTCATCCTTCCATAGAATATCCTATTTAAAAAAAAAAAAAGGGAAAAATAAATTTTAGCCTTTTGTAAGATTAGATGTTTCTATGTATTTTAATAAATAACCCTGTTTTGTAACAAAACTTATTTTAAATAAACTGTTCAAGCCAGCCCTCCCGTGCTGCTGTTACTTCCCTACAGTGGGTCTGAGCCCTGCTCTGGGTGGGTGCTCCCCCCACACCCCCATGTGCAGCATCTCCCCCACAGCTGGAAAAGCCCAGCAGACCCCTTCCTATTGTAGCAGGCTCTGCCTGCCAGTATGTTCGCCCCCCAAGGTGGCAGCTCTTTGTCAGGCAATTGAGTTGTCCAAGCCTAAGTGAGCACCTGCAGCATCCTGCTCCATCTCCCTGCTCTCCAGCTTCTCCCAGCACTGCAGACAGTTTGGGGCTGGAGGAGCCTTTCAACACGTTGGTTGGGTCCTGGTGTGAAGTTATCACTAGAAAGCCCCGGGGGAGGCAGCAAGGGGCTGCAGTGCAGGCAGCACACGCATCAACTCCATGGAGCATCTTCAGCCCAGGACCTGTGATGGCACCTTGCCAGGCCCCTCACTGCCTGAGCCACCACCAGAGCCAGGGAGCAGAGCAGGATGCTCCTTTCCGTTCCTAAAACTTGACCAGGTTTGAGTGAAGTATCAGCAAGGTAGGACTTGGCTTTAGCTTTCCTGCTGGCCCTACTCTACCCACCTGAAACACTCCTGCATCCCCAAACACCAGCTCAGGAACTCATGGAAAACGAAGCAGACAAAGCCCTGCCGCTGCACCAAGACCTGCATGCGACCAGGGAGAAGGACGAGCCACGAATGATGACGTTGCTGGTTGGGCTGGAATCTATCCAGCAGAGTGAAACCTTCCTCCAGGGTTTCTGCAAAGCCACCTGGGCTGGTGCTGCCTCTCCCACTTGATTCCTGGCTTTCCCACTTGCTCCCTACATCCACTCCCCACAGGTGGGAAGGGTGAGATCAGCTTTCCCCTGGGACACACAAGGAACAGAGCCCTGCTTTCCCTGGACACTCCCAGTCAGGAGCTGTGCCAAGGTCAATGGTGCTTCAAGAGATTGAGGCATTTAATGCAACTTAAAAAAAAAAAAAAAGTTACAAATCTTTTAATAAAATTCATTATAAGTTACAGTTTCCCAGAGAACAGGCTCCAGTGTATAAAATGGGAGACAGGCTGGGAGGAGCAGGGGAAGCACCAACAGGAAACCTCTTTCCCCACAGGAAAGAAGAGAGGGACAGAAAGGTTCTGACATATTTATTGGGGTGGTGGGGAAAAGATAAAAACTTCTAAGAGTGGTCCAGTGGATACAGAAAGACATTACTTCACATCCCTCTGTTCCTCCACCCTCCCACATCCTTACCCCCAAAGGCAAACACATATGACAAGTCCTTTTGAAGTCAGGTATTTTAGCAGATCTAGGTAGACCTCAGTTCCCAGCAAGTCTGAAGATATTAATCTTCTGCAGGTGGCAGCAGAGATTTTTGAGAAGCCAAGAGTCAGCCTTTTCCATACAGGTCCTCAAGACCACACCAAGTATGCTGGCACGGTGTCCTGGCTCATGTTGGTCCAAGCAAGCCAAGGGAGCTGGTCCCACATGGCAGATGAAGTCCTTGTGGAGTGGGCAATGTGGTCCCAGAGCCACATGACAAGAAGGGACAGCAGAGATGGGTGAAGCAGGGGTGACAGCAGGCTGGGAGCCCTCCTGACAGGGAAAGGCCAGCACACAGACAAGAGCAGCTCAGAAGTTGATGAGAGATGAAGAGTTAAAATGAAGCTGCTTCCCTACAGCAGCTCTGCAGGGCCCTCTCCCAGCCAGGTCCCCTCACCCAGCAAGGACACCATTCCACTCGGTTCCTCCCTCCATCCAGCCCAAAAGGCACTGGGACTGGGCCAGCAACCAGCCAGCTAGATTTCACTTCCCTACTGCACCGTGAGGGGAAGATGGACACATGGAGGGAGGCAAAATCCAGCCAGACCAGGAGCAGAGGGAAGCTTGGCCACCTGTGTCTGCAGTGAGGAGGTGTCACTCCAGGACAGCCATGAGAAGATGCAGCTCCCGGAAGGCACTACCATGGCGGCCGCTGAGCCCAGACTTGTTCTTGACGATGTTGCTGATGTTTTTCAGCTGCTTGTAGCACAGTTTGCATTTATGGAGCCTGCAAAAAACAGACACAGCATGAACCCTCAGCTGCTCCAAAGATGTGCTTGTTCCTGTAGTGCCAAAGATACAACTCAAGCAGGAGAGAAAACACAAGCCCTGTAACTGGCCTGGAAGAGGCTGAAATATGAGCATGGCCCTGCAGCAACACCCTGTATTCAGCCCATGTCATGATGCCACAAGAGAAGAGCATCCATATATGGGCTCTTTCCGCTCTTTCCCTCTTCTTTCCCCTTTGGCAGCAAAGTCCAGGGAGAAAGAAGGTGCTGTTTTCAGAGGGCCAGTTCTCAGAGTAGAGCTATCCTGTGAATGAACTGGAAACCCAGGGCCCAGCTGACAACTCATGTCTTGTGAGGGAGAGGGTGAAGCCACAGGGTGGTTTTACTCCTGACATACTCACACTTTGTTCAGGTATGACTCAACACACAGTGACAAAGGGAAAAGCAGCCCTTGGTCTTCTTCTCAAAGCAGGAGTGTTTGACATTTGCAGACAAAAGGGAAGGCAGGCCCAGTCTAGTATCACAGCCTCGATGGTGAGGAGGAAAGGTCACCCAAGAGAAAAACTGGTTTAAAAAAGGAGCAAACAGAAGTGAGCAAGTGCCTCACCTTTCCTCTCTGGTGATGTCCACTCCAACAGAAGGTGGTGCAGTGAGGATGTCTGTGATCAGTGGCAGGAATCTCTGGAGAATGAGCTTCAGAGAGGTGCAGCCAGTTTGTACATAACTGAAAGAGAATTGAGAACCACTCGAACCTCGCTCCTGGCCTTCCAGCACCCAGCCCTCACTCCCATCCAGTCACAGGGATCATCTACTCAAGCCACACCCCCTCCACCACCTGTAACCAGTAAGGAGAGCAACCAACCACCAACACAGGCTTATTTCAAGTCAAGACTGACAAAGTGAGAGTGCTTTTGAAGAGTCCTGGAATGCACTCACACCTTTCTGCTCAAAAGCAGAGACATCCTGCTGAGGGGTCTTGGCAAGAGTCTCTCTCCTGGTAGGAAGAGCAGAAACTCCATCTTAAGAGAGATGCTGCATTTTTCTCCCACCTAATGATGAGGTTCAGATCAATCTTCCCACTGATTCAAGGCTGTTGCAGGATTTCATTCCCCTTGTCCTGAGTTGACGGTTCCATTCCCATCAGTGCACAGAACCCACTTGTTCTCCGTTGATTTGAGCCCTTCTGGCTCCTGAGCTGCCCTCAATCCCACATACCTACACCCTGCTCTCCTTGCCCATCCATCCTTTCCAAATCTTTTCCCACACACACTTGGCAACTTCATTGCCCTGTTCCAAGTGAAGTGTCAGCATTATACTGTATCCACTGTGATTTTTCAGGATTTTCTTTCAGCTACCAAACACCCCGTGGAGCTCTCCTGTGAATATCCACACC